CGATCATTATCCCCAGGCCTGACAGGATAGCCAGATCTTGAGGGCTGTGCGAAAGGTCTGGATGGTGGTGAGGGTACGAATCTCCACGGGGAGTTCGTTCCATAGGGTCAGAGCTGCCACAGAGAAGGCTCTCCTCCGCGTAGTTGCCAGTCGACACTGACTGGCGGATGGAACTCAGAGGAGGCCTAATCTGTGTGATCTAATAGGTCGTGAGGAGGTAATTGGCAGGAGGCGGTCTCTCAAGTGGTGAAATAAGAATAAGAAAAATAAAGTTTCCACCGGCACCATTCACCGTACGTCTCAGGTTTCCACTGCAGACCTCATTGGACATCTGGTTCCCCTCTGCAATTAGAATTAGTGTGGAAAAACAGAGTCCCTTCTGTTGGCTGGGAATTCTGGGAGTTGAAGCTTACCCGTCTTAAAGTTGCCGTGGTTGAGAAACGCTGGTCTGGAGCCTCTGTGCTTAGGGTGGTGTTTTCCTTCATAAAGACATTTGTATTGGACTTTGCTTTGGCAAGGCGGTTCGTTACCGATAGTTTCACTGTTTCTTTTGGCGTCATTTGTCATTAAGGTTTGTTCTTGGTTGACTTTTACTGATAGAGCCTTTCCATAATCAATTGCTTCAACAATTTGTCATGGAGAGCGTCAGCAACTTGGCACCTTGACTTGGTGGCTCAAGTTGATGGTTGATGAAAACATCCTGTGATCTAAGGAGGTCCTTTAGGACATATCTATAATATTTGATTACATGACAACTGTGGGCCACATTCAGAGCAATCAACCCACTTATCCACCTTGCAGGAAAGGAGAACATTCAGAAATAGAAAATTCCCTTCACTGGTGTTACAATGCCAGGCCAGATAAGAAATCGGCTAATGGAGAGCCTGAAATGTCAACAGGACTCTTGTTAAGATGATAGATTCTGTTTACTGAGAACTAAACAGACCCTTTGGTCGCCTAAGTGGTTATTAAAGAGCTTCGTAGGGTATTTGGAAGGCTATTGATACGTCAGAATTGTGTAGGCTGATGAAAGAGAAAGTTGTTTGGCTTAGAGATGGAAGGCCTGCATCGTGTACAATAAATCCAGTTTCCTTCTCATCAACTGCAATTCAAATTGTGTTGTGTTTTTTTAATCTTCATTTTGTCTTTGAGTCCTTCCTTCCTTCCTTCCTTCCTTTCCTCCCTCCCTCCCTCCCTCCCTCCCTCCCTTCCTTCCTTCCTTCACTCCATTTTAAAGTGTGTACAAGGCCAATTCCTTAATCCCAAAGGCAAAACAATTTGGCTTTTAGCTTTGACACAGAAAGGACGCGCAGGTTAAGTGAGGGCATGTCCTTGAGGGGTTTAAACAAATCTGCTTGTTGATGTGGCGTAACAAGCATCTGCCTGCAGAAACAATATCATTGTGGCTAACAATTGCCTGAGACAAAACATAGGAGCGGAGAGACAACGACAGTCTAACAAGGCCTAGATGACTGGATTCACATTTCTGAAGATGACACAATTGAAAATTGTATATTCCCCCCCCTAGTTCAAAATCCGAATCTTGAAGTCAAAGTATCTCAGTCCTTACGTCACACTTAGCCAAGATCAGATGAATCATGCAGTGTCTTATAGTGTAATAGGAGAAGCCAACTTTTTTGGATGGTAAGACAATGCTGCTTACAATAACATCAGAACCAAGTCTCTATAGCTTTTCAACAAACCTAGTTAATAAAATAAATCATGGCATTGCATGAAACATCAACCCAACTCAGGTGTGGCACGACAAAAACACGCTGGTCAAAATCACGGCGATAAAATCGCGGCGCTAAAGCCGCGATGTCATCACCGCGCGTCATCACCGCCGCGACAACAGTGCGGCAACATAAGGGTGCTTTAAAACGGCGCCGCGGCAGAAAGCCGACTTCATTTAAGG